AATAAGTATTGCTAACAGAGATGTGGTAACTACATTATATTGAGAACTATTAAACCGTGACCAAATTCCTTATACTTCTTTAAACTGTTGTTTACTCATTGTAATTTGACAAGTTTCTCTGTACTGGAATGTTATACATAAAGTGGATATTCCAGCACAGTGTTGTATTGTCCGTTCTCATTAACATAACAATACACAGTTGTAAGGCTGTGAACACAACACACAGGTAGTTTTGATGTAGTGGAGAGCACCGGTTTTAAAGTGGAGACTGTCTTGGTAGCTCAATGGAAATTGCTGAGTTATGCCAAACTAGGAAGTGCAACTACTATCAAACTAAGAAGTATGATATTTGATTGGCTTCTCGTTGTTAGTAGCTAGACACATATACGATTTTGTGATTCTTGTATTTGTTGAGCGTTGTCGGACACAGTAATAGGTAAGCTGCTTATATGCCATGGCTTTGTATAGAAATTGGATTGTCTAGGCTAGTTCTTGTGGAATGAAGATTACTCCATCTTGTAAAATCAAGTTGTTATATACACATATGGTTTGTATTGTGTAGATTAGTGCACCGTTGTTTTCCTCGTCTCTGTAACAATCCATATGTTCATTATTTGCATCAAGCCGTGTTTATTCAAATGTGCCTGCTGTTCAGAAAATATTATAATACTCGTTTAAAAGAGTCACCTTTTATGTCGCTTTTTTTTAATTAGATATATTTATGAGTAAAATGAAGATTCTCATGAATTTGTTCACGGTCAAATCGTCAAAATATTAACAACAATGACATTTAAATGAAGAGTGCCAGAACAAGGCCTCACAACAGAAAATTTCATATAATTTTTAAGCTGGATTGGGTGAAGAGAATGAATACACAGAATATCTATATATAAAGCTGGCCAATATAATGCTTACTGTATTTGAATTATTAGACATGACAGCCACTTAAACGTGTTGGGTGCAATGCAAATTTCACTTCATACAGATGGTACTCAATATAGTTTTTGTTTACTGTGTGTTACAAAGAGGCTCAGCACTGTTCTATACTGTAAAGGGGTTAATTTTGCTTATTTCGCTGACTGGAAAATGTGCTAAATTAAAACCCAGTGAATATGTAAAATTTAGCATAGAACACATTAACTAAATGATAAAACCATAAATTTAAAATCTTCTGAATATGCCTGAAATAGTAAATCAGCGAAATTTAAACCCAGTGAAAATTAGTCATTTTACAGTATATCAGCCTTTTCATAAATAAATGATATACACCTTCAAAAAATTCCAATTTAAATTCTCTAATTACAGCTATGTATACAATCCCATGTGACTGCAGTTATATTCACTAATTACATAAATTTTGTCAGTACTAAATTGGTTAAAAAGAAATTAAAATCTTAAAATAGCAACCAGTTTGTCACTATGGTGTTTGGTTTCTCTGATGTTCACGGTTTCACATGGTTATCAACTATATATCACTATGACTTGTTAAGAGATATTCACTATGGGTATTATACCCAGTTGATGTAGTATGTCTGTCTTATTTAGATTATTCTATAACCTAGCATGCACACATGAATATAATAAGGGAGTTTTGAAGTCAGCTGCTGGTTATAGTATCAAATAGAGATTGGTAATTTATTATACACAGGTGTTTGCAATTGTGATCTATCAAGGCTACACAGTCCCTACAGATGAGTAAGGCTTATGTTCCTTCACCGTTAGTTGCCCGTATTAATCGCATATTTCTACACATTTGCACAATGGATCCTAATGTACCCCTGTATTCACAACACACATTTGTGCTTATATATATATATATCTAATAGATATGTGTATAGATGTCACAATGATTGGAGATCTATTAAATCAATTTGGTAAGATAATAAGGAGTATAACTTGATATAATTTTCAGATGAACTATCAGAATCCCAGGAAACAACGGTGAAAGTGTTGAGTGAGAATATGCAGCTGAAAGAACAACTTATGGAAGCTAAACAGGAAGCCAAAGATTCAATTGATCATGCTGTTGACTTACAAGGTACATTCCACATATGAAATTCATCTTGTCACAATTTAATAAACTTTTCACATAGATTAATGTGGTCTTTGCTAAAATACAACCCAGGTTTTACTATGACTTTTAATTTCATGATAAGTTGGAAGATTTAAATAGATTAAATATGATGATTGATAGTGTTTATATTATTTATTTATATTTGTTATGTTTCAGAACAATTGAACAAAGCAGAAGCCTCGGCTAAGGAAGTCAAAGAACAGATTATTGCACTTAGAGGTATGAATATTGCTTGAGTATTTGTTTTTAACATTACAGTGGGTTTAGGTTCAATTTAGCTCATATCTCTAGATATATCTCACTACTCTTAATCATTTTAATTCAGACTTGTTAAGAATGTTTTTGACTCCCGTGTGCGAAGCACAAAAGGCAGTCTTTGCAGTACCCTGT